ACTTGATACGACCACGGATAAAGTATTGGCTGTTGAGGTTTCTAAGTTGGATTCTGTGGAAATTTTAGTTGCACTGGGCATATATGAAAGAGTCATCTCTGTTAAACTGGCCATAACGTGTAAGGACTCATCTATAGAAATGGTGGGGGACGTCACACTCTTTTCTGTCGAAGTATACGTGGAACTGGAAACAGATTCTGTGCACATTACCGTATGTTCCCTGCTTGGCACTGTCGAAATGTCTGTAGAACTCAAACTCCTTTCTAGAAACGCCATTGTGTCCGAGATTGTGTTTGCTAAGGTATCTGTCAAACTTGAGCTGGTTCCTATTGGCATAAGTGTTGCTTCCGAGATGACTTCTGTCGAATTTCCGGGAGAACTAGTTTTGGTTGGTTCTAATATTGTTTCTGTTGAAATGTCTGTGGAATCTGAGCTGGTTTTAATGGGCACTGATGTTGACACCGAGCTGGTTTCTGTCAAAACTTCTGTAGAACTTGAACTCGTTTCAGTTGGTTCCGAGTTTGTATTCGTGAAAGTCGAGCTGGTCTCTCTAACCATAAATGTTGTCTCTGAGTTGGTTTCAGTCGAAATGTCTGTAGAAGCCGAGCTGATTTCCGTGAACATAAATATTAGTTCTGGGTTAACTTCCATCGAACTATCTGTGAAAGTTGATCTGACATCTGTGATAATGATTGTTGCAATTGGCTCCGCATCGGTTCCTGTAGAAGTATCTATAAATGTCGAGGTTTCCTCTTTAAAATTCACTGTCGATCCTAAAGAGATGTGTCTGGATTCTACATTGGTTTTAGAGGCAATATATGTTGACATCATGACATCAGTTGGCTGGATAGTTGTCATCGAAGTTGATTTTTGTGTGGTTGCTTGAGCTCTTAGATTCCGATCGATTATTTCTACATCCCCATCCAGGAGCGCTAGGGGTGCAATTGTAGGTGGCTGATCTAAAATTAACGCAAGGCAATATATTTTTCACCTGACAGAGCAAAAGAGTAAGATTGGTACCTGAAGCAATGTTTCTGAAATATATGTCGACGTTATCGCCTCAATTGGCTCGATAGTTGTTATGGAAGTTGATTTCTGTGTGCTTGCTTGAGCTGTTAGATTCCGATTTTCTGTTTCTGCTTGTTCCTGCTTGTTCTATTATTGCTATTTTAATTTTTTGCATGTGACGTGTGTGTTTGTGCGTGCAAAACAAGGCATTTGAACACGTGGTGTTACTGAACTTACAAACAGAATATGCAGCACGAAACCCTCGTAGATTTGCCGAATAGTCTGCGTAGAAAAGAACTGAAATCGTCTTTGCAATGACATCGGCAGGTACGGTAGAGCCACAAACGGTCACTTCACCAGTACTGCCATTAGACAACTCGTGTCGGACCTGTTTGAAATAGGAAGTGACATCAAATCAGTAATAACGACAACAGGGCACTTTCGTAGTTTATGAATATTTATTTAGGTAAGTGCACTGGATATATGTACTTTATTGTATTGGAATGTCTACACCGTTAAAGAGCGGGTGCGCCCACCGGTACACTGCGGTTATCGGCAGCGGTCTGTACACAACATCGATGTCAGCCCGACTTTTTTGTATTTATATTTATTTTCTTCTATCAAATTATTGTTTATTTTGAGTTCTTTGGTGGTTTCTTTCAATTTTCATTACGTTCTTAACCGAATAATTTTCACCTTAATGCGATCCCAAACGCAGTTGGAGTGGGCCTCCAATTGGAAGTCTACAAAATGTAACAAAACGTCTCGACTTGTGTCTGCTGCTCGAATTTCGTAAACACAGAGGCTTCTATCTGGGTAATTGTTGGGGTATGACGGGGAGGTGATATACCCATTCCCGGCTATAAAGTGGCCCCCGCAATCTAGAAAAGGAAAACGATAAAATCAACGCACCAAATTATTCATATGGAAAGCTTTCACCTTTGTGAGAATGACCTTAATACATGTAGCTTTAGAAACCCTTGTTTTATAACAGAATTCATCTTTCTGTTTATTCTCTTTGTGTATATGTGGGTAATCGAAAGGGTGCTGATTGATATCTGACATAGTGTGCTTAAGACAGATGTGAATCACATAGACTTGTTAGGTGTTAAGAACAAGGGGCCCTGAGGGGATGTATCTCGCATACACATATGTCTAGCATGAACTAGGTTGGCAAACCTTGGGTTTTGTCCATAGCATCCACCGCAATATAAGTCAGATATACCATATATACCCCGCCGACCCATGGAATAATAATAATGATTATGATGATGATAATAACAATAATAATAATTATTATTATTACTGTTATTATTATTATTATTATGAAAAAAACGTTCAAAAGACTAACAGAATATTAAAAAGCGCTGACTATAAAACAAATTGTCATTAACAATAAAAAAGAGCAAATTCTTATATACAGGTACATGCACTTACATGTGTAAACAGACGTTTCTGTTAGTGTAAAGTTAACATCCTCGGTTGACAGAACTTGAACAAAATACCGTATACCTGACACAACTGTTGTCAGCACTTACCGTTTCTGTCGTACGCCTCTAGAGTTGCATGAAAACCTTGAGATTCGACCGTGCCAAGCCGATTCAGATCTAAGAGCAGCTCAGTATTTGTGAGTATCTGGATGTTCAAAAACCCTGCAGAACAGGTTAAAACGATGTTGCCCACAACAGTACTCCATGCCTTAAAATAGAAACGACGCGGATTTTTTTAATATTCTGTAAATGCAATATTAACGGTGTTACAAATGATATTGTAGACCGTTAACTTATTTCACATACGATATTCCACACTCCTTGCCGTTTTAGGCTGCACAGATGCCACTAATTGAATTTACAGTCGCTGCTTTTATTGATGTTTACATTAAGGTACAGTATATTTACCTGTATTCGACATTTTAACTGTTTGTTCCAGACAATTTGCCAACCAGTGCATTGTATCGGACGCTGGACGGCAATTTAAGTCAAGAAAACTCCAGGGCACGAACATAAAAAATATCAACTTGGTCAACGAGCCCAAGGAAATCAGATTTTCTTCTTACCGATTTTTTTTTTCAAAAAAATGGAAAAATGTATTGGGCATTTGATTTTCTTTTGTGGGATAAGTTTACAATTGACATACGAAATAATGCTTTTTTATGCTAAAAAAACACACAGAGAGGACTTTACATTTCTTCCCTTTAAAATTCCAGTTTAACCCCAAACTTCAACTGTTATGCCCGTTTAAGATGATATAATACAAAAATATAAATTTTCTCTAACGACCTTGTTCAAAATAATCTCCGGTTGTTATTGTAGACCAACTAACTTATAGATATCAATTGTCTTATTAAAGGGCAGGCACCAGGAAGAAGATAATCTTAATCTTCTCAGTATTAAGAAAATAGTAATTAACATTACCTGAACGTAGTCTCTACAGCAAACACGACCCCCGCACGTGTAATACTGGTCTACAGAGAAAACATTGAATACCACAAGCAATGCTTTGTCGTTTTCCGGCAGAATGCGGTACAACGTACATAAAAGATTAACAGGATCGTAAAACAACGGATATCCCGGTGACGTCAGGTTCTCACCAGCGGAAGTGACGTTAATAGTAGCGGGGCAGGCAGGGCCTGAAATGAAAATTATTACGACACATAATGACGTCAGAATTTTTGCATGCAGCATAAGTGAAATTTATAGAAGGAAAGCAAGCAGGGCCTGAAATTATAGACATGAATACTAGTATACATGCATGGTGACGTCAAATTCTGTCCGGTTGTTTTAAAGTAACCGGTTACAGGGCAAGTTGGGCCTGAAATAAACAATGTTCGTTTACAGTCTTAAATCCAAATATTCAAAAGACTTAATGATGTGGAATACGAGTTAAAGAAAATTTACAACAACAACTTGATATGTGTAACATTAAAAGTCATTCCTTCCCTAGTTGATTAAAGTACGTCAAATTAAAAAAAACAAGTGTCATTTAATCCAAGCTGTAAAATTTCCAAAAAATATGCACCCTTAGCGTAATGAAAAGCAACGAGTTTGCAGGAGATTACAAGAAATAATTTACTGCTGCAAATTTGCAGTCATATTGCCGTAAATTCGCTGCAAATTTACAAGAAGGAATTGCACTTTGCAGCAATGTTACAGCAAATGTGCTGCAAATGTGTTCGAATTTGCAGCAGGACTGATATTTTGTTAAGGGATATGTCTTCAGTTCTTTTATAAGCTGGACTTTCATGTGCTATTTTTGCACTGTAGACATTTGAATTCTTGAGGACAATCATAAAAAAGGGGAATTGTGATGGTCCAATCTACTGTAGATTCCCCCATGTCTCTAAAATATGTATAATTTAGAAGGGTGCGTTATTTGTTTGTCCGGATGTAAGACGGGTGGAAGTGACTGTGGCCCAGTTGTCTCCTCCAGAACGACCAGATATACATTTGTATTGTATCAACGGACGTGATGATGGTATTCTTCCAAAATAGAGCTTCATGTTTGATGAAGAGATGCATCGAAATATAGGAGGTAAACGATTTCAATATTAGCTGTTGGTTGAAGAATATCACTTAGTTCTTGTGACATTAGAAACCAGATGTAAATTTATGTTAAAGGTTTTAGGATCATGCACTGAGACCATGTCCAACGAGGTCATGGCCTCACTGATTTACTCTCTCCTTTTGTATGAGTAGGGAAAGGTGCAAACGCAGTGAATAAGTTGAACGCCCTGCAGCCATTTCGAAAGTCAGCGTAAAACTGAATACTGAATGCGGACCATGGAAAGCGATGAAGAAGAAGACATAAACGATGAAAAAATGCCACGTAATGTCTTAGAATGGAGAAAAAAGGATCGACGAAAGCGGAATTTAACTGCAGTGAATCAATTGAGCGCGCGGAAGCCATTTCGAAAGACAGCGTAAAACTGAATACTTATCACGGACCATAGAAAGCGATGATGAAGAAGAACACAGAAACGATGAAAAAAATAATATGTCGCGTAATGTTGTCGAATGGAGAAAAGAATATCGACGAAATTGGAATTTTACCTGGAGCTCTGCAAAGAGGTCTTGTGTTTGAATCGTCACAACTTTTGGACTCCCACAAACAATAACCGCCCGACCTACAGTCGAGTCTTGCACACAGGGTGCTGCCAGAACCTGGTTGTCCGGACTTCCAGCCAGTATACTGTATAGGCTCTGTCACCGGCTCTGTCCACTCCCAGTCTCCATTGCCGTTTATGTCCGTCGCTGATATCCAGAATCTGTCGTATACCCCTTCGCTGTAAAAGGATATATATATATATATATATATATATATATATATATATATTGATAACGAACGGATTGATAATTGGAACAGTCAATGGCCCTCCCTACGTTATTATGTTTAACAATTCATATGTGTATATGAACGTTTACGTTGAATACACGCAAATCACTATAACAACTACCTATATTGAGAATTGGGTGAGTTTCGGAACACTACCGTACAAATAATACCTGCTGTTGGATCAGAATTCCTTATCTTTGATTGCAAACGGTGAATCCAGTGAATTGACCAAACGCCGAAAACATTTCTTCTTTGGTTAAGCTTACCTTATTAAATAATTGTTGAGGTTGTTTCGTTCCGTTGAAGACTCTATTCTGCTCAGATACCAAGTGCCAACAGGAGGAAGTGACGAACAATATGTCTTACTGTCTGCCACTGTTCTCCGTGTAGTTCCTGCGTGGTAGACGAAGGTGCTTCCTTGGAGACAAAAGGCCGTCAATGTGTTGTTGCATGCTACACCAGTGGCGTAATCTAAAATGGGCGATGAGGACTCATTCAATGTTTTCTGCTAGATTTTCAAGCTATATCTGTTACATGATATCTAGACATAAAAATCACTCTGGGACATTTTCAAAGGGGTAATGTGTATTTCTTAAATCAAAATTGTTTTACGAAATGACGCACGAGGCAGAATGACATTGGCTTGATAAACAAATATAAAAAAAACAATATTAGTAATATCCCCGAGAAACCAATGCAAAGCAAAAACAAATTAAGGAATCTTACGCTTTTGAAGATAAACTTACAGCTTGTAAACAATCGGTGCAGTCACAACTGTGCATTCTATAAGCACGTCGCTTTTGTGTTTATTTTCTGAATACTAACGAACTAGAAGGATAAGAACCGCAAAGATCGCTATATTTTGACATAAAAACCTACATTGCTTTCAAAGGTATAATATGTGTACTTACAGACATGGAAAAATAACAACAGTCCTAACAGCATCAGTTGGAGAGTTTTTATCGGTTTCATTCTGTACAAGCGAAACAATGGTAACTTGTTCAAAATGTACTCCTTTGTATTATACGCTATTACGCTATGTGCGATAAATCTAAAACCAGACGCGGCGAAAACCTTGATTTTTATCAATGTTTGGCCGCGTGCCAAAATGCATGGCTTTCTCCGTGGGCCGTGTCTAGAAATAATGCATTACCAGTGAGAAGATTCAATATATTTTCTTAAGCTATTGCCTATTAAATAATAGATCTAACGGTGTATCTATTTAATTTACACAGGTGAAACATTTCCACGTTTCACTGTATTTTCCTATATTGTACCAACAATCATGACGCTTGATTGTCGCTTACATCGCAGTATATAAAGACATGGAATTGACACTGTTGCAAATAGAAAACATGACAGCTTTGCTGCCTTCTTTATCAATTCAATCCTTGAATACGAGACGTTTTGTTATGTAAACAGAGAGAGTAAAGACTGATGCTTATCTTTTTTTCAATTAAAACAACAAGCGCTTATCAAATACTAACGATAGATACAATACCCGTTCCTTTCACAAATATTATCACGTCCGACTATGTTTACAGACCGGAAGGCTAGTCAATACTGCGATGTTATCTTATAACTGACAAATATTGGACAAACAAATCACAGGACCTATTGCACAAAGAAACTTAAGTTCGGAAATTTGTCTTAACTTTAAGACGAATATCTGGTCTACGTCAATTAAAGATAAAATTAAATGCCGCCATTTACAAACATAATACCAAAATATTGCCAAATATGACGAAGGCAGGAACCAGTTACTAAAATATTGTTTTACCTCTGTTGAAAAAAGTACGTGGTATCAGTATACAAGGCATGTTTCCATACTAATCCACCAACAAAGTTTTATCAAATTTAGACGTTTTGTTCGTCCAAACATTATGTTTGCATGGTGCTTGCCTGTTTAATTCACGGTACATGTACCGGTACATGTGTTTGGGCGTGCATAAACCGAGATAAATGAAGGTACATGTATCAACGATGACATCTTCTTAAATCAGTACATGTACAGAAGGGTGTTTGTCGGACTCGTTTTCTTCGTTTTTTCTCCTCATTGGGGGTTAAAAGAAGTAAAGCTGATAAACCATTAAAACTAGACACCAAGTATGACACATGTAGTCCTCCGGCGTTAAAGATAAACTTGAAAAAAAAATGATTTAACGACATCTACACAGGCTAGGAAGAACACAAGAGTTTCGAAAATTTTGGAAAAAATCAGCAATTTTACCTCACCAACATACCGGCGTGTCGTAAAGAAAATTATTCCTATCAGTCACAATCTCATGTTGCTTTCTGCCAATCAATTTATACACATAACTATATTGGCCATTAAGCACTGATATATCTCTATAAAAAAATCAAGTATAAATTGGTAAATTGTATACAGTTTTGTAGTGACGACGACAACGACTTGGAACATAATTCAAACATTTATTCACATACTTATTTTCATACACGCACGATGGGATCCATCCTCTTTTTCTTGTGAACCTTGTTTACGTCTCTTACAATAATAATAATAATAATAATAATAATAAGTATTATTATTATTATTATTATTATTATTATTGCAATATTCAACTAGGTAGTGCATACACTATAAGAGATTAATAAAAGATAAAACAAATTGACATTTCCACTAACGATTAAAATATAGGTCAATCAACTGTTTTAAGTAGTATAATAATATTAATAATTATAACAATAATACAAATAGCAATGTTATTATTATTATTATTATTGCAACCTTAATCTTGATGTCACATACACTATAAGAGATTGATAAAAGTACATAAAATAAAAATGACATTTCCAGTAATGATTTAAATATTAAGCCAATCAGCCTATTCCAAGTTGTTACTTTAATGATAATAATTATAATTATAACAATGGCGTTATTATTATTATTATTATTAATCTTGATTTCACATGCCGTATAAGAGAATGATTAAAGTAGATTAAACAAATGATGACATTTCCACTATTGATTAAAATAGTAAATCAATCAACCACTTCACTAGTAATCTAAGAAAATACAAATGATTTTGATATTGTGAGTTTCCACACAGGCTGTGACGGCCTACCAGTATCTCGATACGACCCATCACAATGGGACGTCTGTCTCACTCTAGCAAATGTAATCACGCTGTTGTTTTATACACATAAAATTTGACATTTTACCTTATATGCAATACAACATAATTAATGAAAATCCAAATATTGATAGGCATTTTGTACTGAGTAGCTAGATGACTAGATATTAACTTCCTTTGTTTACCGAAGTGCTTAATTGCTCTCCAGCATTTTTTTTTTTTTTTTTTTTTGAGAGCAAGCAAACTCTCCAGTAAACAAAAGAAGGCAACAACTAGTCATCTAGCAGCAAAAGGCATATTATAGCCTCAAGTATAGAGTTGTCTTCATTTCTATTTAATTCGCCACACACGATGGTGACATACAAAAATAGAAAAAAAAATCCACATTAAATGCCAATTTAATTGTGTAAGTGCACTAAGTCACGTGACCATATGGTCACAGGTCGCGGTTATATGAACACTGTTCAATCATGTGAGGTGGAGTATGCACAGTATATAGATTAGCAATCTCAACGGAGGGGCAGTATAGATACCGGCCACTCCAATTTGGTACTCCAAATGGCATCATATATTTGTACAAAAGAAAGAAAGGCAACAACAGTATCAACGAAAAATTGTGACAAAACATGCTGTCTACGGACCCATACCTCTTATTCGTCAATAAAGGACATTTTATGCATAACGTTGTTTACAAGTTGGGAACATGAATCAAAATGTTTGTACTAGCACTCCATGCTAATCTTTAAAAACTTGTCACATTTTCGTATCTTACTATAATTTTCACGAAATTTTGATATTTTCATATTTCCGTATGTCTTGATAAACTTCATAAAGTCATCTGCTTTTCGTAAGTGTGTCAAATATTTGTTTGGGCATCTTGCGATAATCTTCATAAAACTATCAATTTTTTGTCATCGTCTGATGATTGTCTTTATAAACTCATCACTTTTTCCTACCTTAAGATAACCTTCATGAAATTTTGATCTTTAAGTAAGCATTGGTAGCTTCAAATTTAGCCTGGTGTAGCTTTGATGTGGCAGCATCACCTCATATTCAGAATAGATGATACGAGTACTAATTGATCCGCCGACTAAATATGGCCAACCCACTTCAAAATCTATGCCGCTGATTCCCGATGGTCTCCCATCTCCAAACGCGCCATTAGACGGATTAAATATTGGCTCGGAGGTTTAATTGCTAGGCCCCTGCAGCAACGGTGCCTGTGGGGGAGGGGAGAACATCATGGAATTAGCGGCATCGCTTTTGAAGTGGCGTCGGCGATATTTAGTCGGCGGATCAGTTGGCACTTTCTATTCTGAATGGCCCTACGACAATGCTAGTATTCGCATTATTTGAAGCCCCTCAAGGCAGGACGACCTCCTCTGCAGAGACAAAGAAACTTGTCTGCCAGCCAGTGACTGCATCCACCGGAGACCCCCCGCATGAAGAGGTATGTATGCTGAGTACCAGGTTTCCTGCGGGAAGACCCGTACAAATACCGCTCACTGGAATAATAAGAATTACGTCGTGTGAACATTCAAAATGACGATAGATGGCAGTTAAGTGTATGCTGGCATAATGCCAAAAGTAAGACAACTTCATTGAAAAAGATTCCAAATGTTATCGAAATCAATTTGATCACCACTAACCTTTAAACCACCAATTATAGAATAGATAATAATAACTATGACAATAATGACAGGAAACGATCGAGTTAACCCCTACTGAGGTTACGTCATACCTGTTATGGGGAACAGATGCTGCGTTGTTGTTTGGTAAGAATTCGTGTTGCGAACGCCGTGCACCACGTGTGTCGACACTGGGCACAGCTGTCGGTCAAACCGGAACTCCCACTTCGTGCAGACAGCTCTGGCTCTAGAAAAAATAGGAATGTCACTTAATTTTTGACTGCAGAGCAGGGACTAAAAGGAACGGCGTTACCAACTGTGATATTTTGTTACGTTTTTGTGATAAATGCATGCATTAAAGAAAAAATCGAATTATGTAGTCAATGCAAAGCAGACACACCAGGGACCACTGTATAGTATTTAGTATATCTGAGATGTACTCGTACCCAAGTAAGATCAATTAAAATATCAATTAAAAAAATCAATTAAAAATAGAAAAACCGCGCCTGTTCTATGTAAAAGGAAATATTAATACTAATGGACCACTCAATGATTGGGGACTACACTTGTGCACGTCGGATTTGTCCTAAATTGAAGAACGCAAAATTGTTTTGATAAAATGGTGTGCAAGGAATGCATTTTCAGCCAGTCTAAGCGACAGTTCACAATGAGTTTTAATGCACACAAACTCCACGGGGACTCTCGCTGAATGCAGTCAGATCAACAGTCCAACGCACATACACAGGTATGCCACCTCCTTGCGTCGTGTAGAATACAGACCAATGGTGATTTTAAAGTTTCAAACAAGAAGAGTACGTGCGCATTACCTAGGTCGATATTACTCATTATGAGCGGTCCCTAAAAAGGTCATACTATACGTACTGACTGGTCATCACTGTAGCCGTCATACTGACCCTCAGGCCACTGGTGGAGGACATCTTGGGGTAGATCATGCTTGTTTCTTATAACTGACTTTGGGAGATAACCGTCGTGTAGAATACAGACCAATGGTGATTTTAAAGTTTCAAACAAGAAGAGTAAGTGCGCATTACCTAGGTCGATCTAATTCATTGTTAACGGTCCCTAAGAGAGTCATACTATACGTACTGACTGGTCATCACTGTGGCTGTCATACTGACCCTCAGGCCACTGTCGAAGGACATCTTGGGGTAGATCATGCTCTGAAGTTGATATAAATACGTTCTATTGCCCCGACATTGCATGCGCATTTGACGTATTTGACTGAGTGTTTTAATCCTATGTAAATTTGAATGGAAATGCATGAACAAAGACTGTATTAGCATCCCTAAGAGAGAGAGAGAGAGAGAGAGGGAGAGAGAGAAGGAGTAAGTGAGAGAAATTTGATTAAAAATGATGAAATGACGTACCTCGATTTCTGACAGCCCCGTGAAGTCTAGGTTGTACCAGTTCCAGTGACGAAGATTGAACACCTGTTGAGCAACCTGAGGTTGATCTAAAGATAGAATAAAAACGTGCCTTTACACGTCCATTAATTTACAGTTTTTGATATCCAACAGTACATGAATCATGGTGTTTTAGGGAAAAGTATTGGAATCACCAAAAAACTACCCAAATACATGTGTATTCAAAAAAAGGTACCTGCAAACTGTGGCTTCCCGAGCCTAACTTCCTCCACAACAATCCTGGAGACACCATTAACGCCAGGGTCTGGGTCCATTTGGCTGAGGTTGCCATATAGACAGTGTCCAGCATTCAAAGCAACTGCATAATCTCCTTGGTCTAGATTTTGGCAAATCCCTTCAACTTTAAAAGACAATAAACAGATCGATAATCATATGAGTTCTACTACGGTGGAAGGATTTTCACTAGTATTACTTGTTTCTGACTAAAATTTTGCAATTTTTCTTTCTTTTAATCTTTCTTACATAGTGTTTTTACGTCCAGGTGTCCATCTTTTTCAATCAAACAAAATACCGGCATAATGACTACCTGCACCTATGATTATTGATTTACATACAAATAAAATGTTTAACGTAATGAAATATATAGACCGGAAAGATAAACACAAGATAAAGACTATTAAACGTCGCCTACTTGAATGAGTCGTCTGCGTTCGGATGATGGGATTTGTGAGCCATGCAATGGCTCCATCTATCGGAGTGGGAGCTTTACACTCTTCTCCATTAAAGGTAAAATAAAATCGAAGACATCCGGGTGCTGAACTTTGGGATATTGCACCTAAGGCCCCAAACCAACGTACTCGTAGAGATGTATCGGGAGCCACTTTGGTGTAACTAAATACCTGGGAATATATAAATTCATGTCTGAAAAATGATACATCTCTCTCTCTCTCTCTCTCTTTCTCAATAGACATGTATATGCATGTGTTGCAAGTCAAGGTTTGCATATGTAATAGGTACTGTATAGTGAAACATTACCTAACTACATGTACAAGGTAAAAATGTTACTTTTAAATATATGTGATATTCCCCACACTTTATAAGACGAAAGATTTGTAAGAAGAGAATGGGTTTTTGAATCAAACATTTTAAGAAAACGTTTGATACGCTAATGGCAAATCAAGATCTCTATTTCCCTGATCAAAAAGGCTCAAAGATAGAGGCTTTACATATTGTATAATTCTGTTCACATATACATGTACCAAAGTTTAACATACCGAAGCGCCGTATATCCCACTAGCTGTGTCCGCCGTGGAAAAGGTATGTTGTTTTACATTAAAGACAGTGTGGTGGGGACAGGGACCTAAAACAAACGATATTTGTGTGAAGAAAAGTATGGTCTTAAGCACATTACCAACTTTTCCTCGAAAATTGTTTTTTTATTTTGTAAAATAAAATATGTTATGGTGTAGGCCTACTGTGCCATTTCATACCATGATTTAGTACATTATACCATGCTATGCTATTTATGCCATTTAATGTCATGCTATATGATAGTCCTATAATGCTATGCTATACACTATACACATCATCCATACCTTAAATAGCAGTAGATTTGAGGTATGGTTTCCGTGTGATTAAGTATGTACTGAGTTTTCGTGCGGGCTACACGGTATGATATCCTATGCTAAATGCCATGCTATACTACCTTCGTTCTCCCCCAGATCGACTTCCTCGGCTGTTATTTTGCAGTTACCAGGTGACCACCCCAAGTACGGCTGGCTTGATATACCCGGCAGTGTTCCCACGTTGAAACCAATCTGAATGGGTCCTGCCGGAATATTGTTACAAATCCCTTCGACTGAAATGAAATATGTGATACAGGATACATATACCACAGTGCACTGGTATAGTTTTTAGCCTGTTGGTAATTCATAGTATAAGTATATTGCTCAAAACTCTGAGCCCTCTTAAAAGCTGTTTTTTTTCTTTGTTTCTATAAAGTCGACTCTAGAAATGAAAACACAACCAAAGAAAGGGGAATAACTAAGAATATTTTGCTAGAAGAAATGTAGGAAAAGAGAGCAGTGCCTCATCGCAAGTTCTACACACGAAGCTATGCCTCTAAATTTATAAGCACTTTCTATAACTGTNTATATTTTCTGCTTTTTCTCTTTTTTTGCTTTTATAACAACATCCTCCTTGCTCATGCAGCTTCTTTGATTTGTTATTGAAACATACACAAGGATGTCATGAGAATTTGGTCGGCTATCTAAATTTAAATTACATTCTTGTTATGGTCCCCCCGCAGTGCACCACTAGCAAAGAATGACTGATAAATATATCATATCATATCATATCATATCATATCATATCATACCAAAAAAACTGTATATTTGTGCCAAAATATCATTTCCCTAAAGTCTTACAAAGAGTGTTTGACGTCAGCCATGCTACTCACATTCAGTATGGAGATAATACTCTCTATCAGCCCCAGTCCAGTCTACGGCCTCGATACCAGCAGGCTCAGTGCAAGGTGCCCCATTGAACGTGAAGTAAAAGCGAGACCCCCGATCGGAGTTGTAACCACCCATTATACTTCCAGACCAGCGAACTCGCAGCGCGGTGGATGCGTTCTTCTTTATGTAGTTGACATTCTGCAATGCATGGATAGTATTTATAAGTTAAAGGTGCACTGTGGTATTAACAGAGGATTGCCCTGGGTTTCAGGGGACACTGAAAACAATATCCTGAAAAAGGAGGATACATGCTGCTAATAACGAGTTTCTACTGACCTAAAACTCAGAATGTTGCATGGTTTTTACTTATATGATAAATAAACCAGTTTCTTTGGTTTATTTTCCACTTTACATATTTTCAATGTGTAATCTCATGAAAGCGCTATACCAATAGATATTCTATTTCATGATGTACGTAAAGTCATATGAACTGATTCCGAAAGTACTGCCTGCATGCATGCCTATATTTTTCTAAAAACATTTCGAAAACATTTCTGGGCTTTTATCTTGTAAAGTACTTTGCCGCCAAAATTACTGTATTAGTCTAATTCTGTTCCATTTCAATTACCATTAATATATTTATTTTTGATGTCTCAAAAATACAAAATATTGGCTAGGCTACTATAGTAGACACTGTTAAACTAACCAGCACTTGGCCGCCAGTGTTCGAATACCAGCTATTCCACGTCCACTGCTGGACATTGTCCATCACTCTGTTACACGTAACTTGAAATTAAAGGCACACAATGAGCGTTACGCCTTCATATAACAATTAAGTAATAGTATCTCAGACACGACATGGAATAATGCTAAATAGACACATATTGTGTGATAACACTGAAATTTTGGTTTATCGCATGACACATTTACCTGTGGGACAATTAAGCAGGGGTCCAGGTCTGCAAATTATTCATTTCATCAATCAATCAACAATCAATAGATTAAAAAATAATAAGACGTTCCTTAATTTCATCACACGGTTAATTGTGTCAGCGCGTTCATACTTACTGGGCGCGGTTTTCAGTTGAATCCTGCACTGTCTGTCGTTACCGTACACCCGGGCCGATTGACAATTCTCTTTGTATCGGTCACACTCTCTGATACACGGGAGCCGGATAGAGGTAGCGGTGCTCTATACAAGGGTTTAAGTGAAATATCATAAAATAGAATAAGGTAGAACAGCGACAGAAGTAGAGTTATATATTTTTCATTTCGGTAATGTTATTTTACTGGATTTTACTTTACGTGAAACGGTCCAAATTTTCGTAATGGTACATATATATTGGCTAAGCTACTATATAGTAGACACTGTTACACTGACCAGAACTTGTCTGCCAGTGTTCGAATATATATTTATACGGTACACACAGCTGGGACGTGCGTTAATTTGTTCACGTTGTAAATTAAGTGACATTACCAGATATGCGTTAAGGTTTTGTCTTCAGTTTTTACTGCTATTTAATTTGTCCAAAATACAAAATACCTGAAATTTTTCAACTTAACTATAGGCTTGAGCATTCATCTCCGATGATATTTTGCCTTTCATATTTAAAACCATTGCATCAGAAATTGTGATGTATTTCATAAGGCATCTCGGTCTTATCATTCACTGTTTATAGGTATTCACGTGTAACCCCATGTTGATATCCAGATATACGGCAAAGAGTCAGTTAAAATTTATAGTGTACAAAGTGTATGGAAAGTATAAAATTTCCACACAAATCTCATCTAAATGACTTAATTTCATCAATTAAATGTGGTGGAATTTAAGGGGTCAATGGGAGGCATATTTCTATCAGACCTGTATCAGCAGGACCTTTAAAGTAATCTAGTGCTTACCCTAACACTTTTTCCTTTAGAAATTTCTAAAATATTCGACATAATTATCATTATGGACTTCATTTATCTTCTTAATATTTTTTAGTTGACTACCGTCCTACCTGACACAGGACTTCGTTTCCAAACACCTGGCACACGTGATCATCTGCAATTTGTGAAGATTTCACAACTGAAGTACACAAAAAACTTTCCAAAACCAAGAAAATCGTGAAACTGCTCAGTGACATTTTCACTAGAACGTGCGTCAACCGCACCTCTATACATTGGTCTTTAAACTAAATATCGACAGACAAGAATTCCACAATTAGTCTATGGCACAAACAAATGTTGACAACGCGTTGCCTAGGAGACAATGTCAAACTTGTCTGTGATTGGCCGACGGAGGATCAATTTCTTAGAAATGTGCCCGTTGGTTGGTTTTCACATATTTCCCCTGCGTCCTCCTCTTCTAATTTTCAGTGGCTTATAATCAATAGAAGCGTGACGACATCACAAGAAAGCGAACATGCGTTAGTGTACAAGTTTGCACTCGAAAATGATTCGCCTTTAAATATTAATTTTAATTTAGATCCTACAGACATAAATCGACATGTATCGCTGATTGAAGATGGACGTTTTGTTTTCTTTTGGGCTACATTAAGTGCTCTGAGTTTAATTTTTGATGTGCACATCCAAACACTTCACATACTAAACTATTTTCAAGGGATATAAACAGAGAGTCGAGACTTTCAATTATAAATCGGTTGGGAATCGGGTATTGTTAAATTACATACACATAGTTTTTCAAATAAATCGTTCATGGTCGCAGTTTAATTTTTGATGCTTGCGTTGTTTCAACGTTTGCATCCTAACACTTCATGCATTAAACAATTTTCATGGGATATATACATAGACTTGTGTTTTGATGGGAATTCATCTGTGTAGTCGTAGGATATGATTCAAATATTAAACTTTTCAATTTCTACACTAAATCACGGATGATCACGGACGTGATCGAAAGCTCTCTCAGGTATAGCTCTATTTTTAGTTTTATATTTGAATCATAGACTTGTAGCTTTCAATCATGCATTGGTCGTGGAGTTACAAAGTTACATCAGTTACAAAGTTTCTCATATACCCCATACCAATAAAAAAAAATGTCACCCCTACGTACATACGACATTTTCTGCCTCTGGTCGCCCTACATAATTCATGGCATGGGGTGTATTGGCTACCATGGTGTAGGCAAGCTAGTATTGGTCAACGGGAACCTGAACGTAGAGCATTACATGTAAGTTCTGGAAAGAACTTAAGGAATTCTGTAGAGAATATGTTAGGTGAACATGACCACCCAATTATGTTTTAACATGATAATTCTATTCTACGTAGAGTCAATACAATAGTAGACTGGTTAAATGCTAATCAGATCCAAACTCCCCGATGGCAAACTAAATCCTTAGATCATAACATCAATGAGAATGCGTGGATATCCTGGGAAATGGATAACCCTCCAAACAAATTGTGTTTGGTACTACACACCAGTGTATCTTGGGTCTAAGCACCTAGCCTCGCACGACTGAACTGTTGAAAGCACTTAACTTCCCTTAGCTATCACAGTCGATTTGGAAGGGAGTGCCATCATTTATGGAATTATAACCGTTGATACTCATTACCATATCTTATAATCTGTTATCAGTTATTGAGCCGCCTTCATGCTGAAGAGTTTGTCCCCATATATAATTCAATAGTCATCATTAAAACACAAATGAAGTAAAAATGAAATCGATAAGGCTGTTTTCAGATCAAAAACATTAACGTAGTTAACAAAAAAAGTAGTAATCAGAAGGGTTTCATGGGGCTTATAGCTGTATGTCTCGAACCACTGAGCTATGGAAAGCACCTAATGTCCCCAAGCCTTCGCGGTCGATTTAGATAGCAGGACTATCATCGTTTCTCAGAGCTATCACCAATGATACCAATTATCGTATTTTACTCAGCCATCACTTACTGTGGCTGTTCTGATGATGGAGTGTCTGTTCACATCTACAATTCAACAATCATCATGAGAGCATGAAAGCTTGAAAACATTCATTTGATTTACAAAATGGAATCCATGGAAAAGATATGCAGATTGGTGAAAAAAAGATAGAGTTGAACCTTTGTGATGAAAAAGTAAACTGGCAAATAAATAAGACCTTAAAAATTCAAAGTCCTTGTAAATCAGAGGAGTAAATTATTTGAAAAAAAAATCAATCGAAATGCCATTTTCCCCATTTCTCACCCCTTTCACCAAAAAACATGTATCCTACAGGGAACCAACCTTTGACGGGCAGCTTAGCAGGGGGAGTGGAATTATTGCCCAATGTAAAAAAAGGCATGAAAAACATGAAAAACAGGCAGACAGGTCGACGGAGCTTGCAGCTAGCTGTTATACACCGTAGGGGAGCATTCCAATAGGCACATCGGACTTTGTAAGACACTCCAATTCTGCAAGGGCTCTTGCTAAAGGCAGGGGCGGATTTAGGGCGTCTTCTGGGTCATCCAGAAGACGGTCAGATTTTTAATTTTACATTGACGGGTATTTTTTTTCTGTCGGAAGACGGTCAAAAAGGGAGGATGAATCAACAAAGATAATTTGGAAGACTCAGAAAATAACTCTGGATCCGCCCCTGAAAGGCCCCGTCACACTTATTCAGAATTAAAAGGATTCTAGCGGAACCAGCCGGAATGAAGAATTTTCAACATTCGTACTACATTCGGGAAGAAATTCACCAATTGTACCTCAGCCTCCGAGTGGACTGTCTTAAGGAAGAAATTGCTTTCCACTGTTCACAATCTCTTGTTGCATTTAAGCCATCCATCTTTACATATAAGGTTTGGGATATTTGGCATTGGTCTGTTTTCGTACATCTGTTATGATTTATATAATCAAATCTCACTAGAGTAAGTGTGTGTAAAAATATCAACCGATATTGTCTGATTAAATTTCATTACATCTTTTTTTATGTTTCTACCAGTAGTTTTCTTTCATAAGAATGAATAGAATAAATTCTGTATTATTTTTAACTACACTTCAACCCTGCCTAAACATAGAGTATCTACATTTAAGAGTAAATTCAACAATGTTTACAGTCGATTTTTTTGTAAAATTATTCAATTTGTACGTAAATTTTCCCCCATGAGTGGAGTGTTTATGACATACTTTTTATGCTATAGTGAAAAAAATTCCAGAGTTCGTTTTTTATTACAGGAGGGGGGTGAATATTCAAAGGGGGCTCCCCCAAATTTGAATGCTATTAGGGGGTCTCAATTTTAGGGGAGGGGGACTGGGGCTGGGATCAGACTTAAATAATGACCGGTTCCTAGCTCTATCAGAACATTTACTGATTTATTTAAAATCAATTCAAATTATCTTATCCAGGAAACGAAAAAGTTCATTTGGGTTTATCCCTTTGACTAAATCATGATCGAACTGAAAACAGGAATGTCATATTGACAGACATGTACAGTAGTAACAACGACAGCGATGCAGGATATCAATTCAAACATTTATTCACAGACTTTCTGTACATACTCACATACGATGTAATCCATCCTTTATCTATCCATATTGTTTATAGATTTTCTTTACATCATCTTTTAGTTCATCATAAGAATATTTCATTCTTATTTGTCAATCAGCTACATGTATTCTCTATTTCGTTATTAGGCAATCTCTGTGAGCCTTGTTTACGTCTCTTACAATTATTAATAGTAATAATAATAATGATAAATTTATTTATTGTTATTAGTAGTAGTAGTAGTAGTATTAATATTGAAATTTGAATTTCGATTGTACATGCATTATAGATGAGTGTTAAAAATAGATAAAACTTATTATGACATTTTCCACTAATGATTAAAATATTAAATCAATCAACCTCGTTTAAGTAATTAAATGCGACTGTATTAAAATGTATCAACTCCAATTGAATTAAAATCTTTGCAGGCTTAGCAGGTCTTGGTTTTGGAAAGTAAAAATGGTGAGATTGCCTTAGGTCATGTGAATGCATGTTCTTTCAATTTTTGCAATAAGTGGTTCAACTTATCTTTTTCTTTGCAAATGCTTACGACATTTTACAACATTTAACGACAAAAATAATCACTGTTATTCACGTCATGTAAATCACGTTTATGTGGCCATTCAACTAAGACCATACTGTAGTAGTAGTAGTAGTACCATTTCATTTGCAATAAGTGAAAGAGCAACCAAAAACAGCATCCGCTAAATTATGACATATAACAAATATAATGCCTATATTGCTGCAGTAAAAATATCCATGGAGACGACATGTACTGCAGAGATGCAAATATTAAAATAAGTCATAAACTCGGAAAACGTTACCAGTAAACCAAAACAATTAACAAATAATTTTGATATTGCGGGTTTCCACACAGGCTCGATACAACCCACTTCAGTGGGACGTCTGTATCACTCTTGAAAAGGTTATCAAGCTGTTGGTTAATACACATAAATTGTGACAATTTTCTTAATATGCAATAAAACCCACTTAATGACAATCAGATACGGATAAGCCTTTTGCAGCTACTTGACTAGATGTTGACTGTTTTTGTTAACTGAAGAGTTTTAATGCTCTCCAGCATTCTTTTGTTTACTGGGGAGCAAGTAAGCTCTCCAGTAAACAAAAGAAGGCAATATCTAGTGATCTAGTTGCAAAGGGCCCATTATAGCCTCAAGTGTTGAGTTGTCTTTATTTCTATACAATTTACCACACGCTATGGTGACATGCAGTTATAAGAACCATTTAACACAAAAAATAGAAAAGAAAATCCGTATAACATGCTCATTAGGTTGGATAAATGAATCAAATCTTTTTATTAAGCACTATAATTTCCTGGTTATATTTCATATCTAACAATAACCTTGAATTTTTTAATATTTTTATATTTCCGTATGTCTCTATAAACTTCATAAACTTATCTGCTTTTTCGTAAGTATTTCAAATATGAACTTTGAGGATCTACTGATAATCTACATAAATCTATTAAGTTTTTGCCATCATCTGATGATTATCTTAATCAACGTATCACCTTTTCGTATTTAACTTTTTGAAATTTGAAATCTTTTTATGAGTAGCTTCAAATTATCTTCTCAATAATCCTCTAGTTTAACCTGGTGTAGCTTTATGTGACAGCATCATCTCATAATTTGACAAAACTAATATTCGCATTATTTTAATTTTGGTGGGTAAAAATCCTCGCACATCAAAGTACCTTAAGGCAGGACGACCTCCTCTGCAGAGACGAAGAAACTTGTCTGCCAGCCAGTGACTGCATCCACCGCTGGAGACCCCCCGCATGAAGAGGTATGTATGCTGAGTACCAGGTTCTCTGCGGGTAGACCCGTACAAATACCGCTCACTGGAATAATAAGAATTACGTCTTATCTTGCTTCAAAATGACGATAGATGGCAGTTAAGTGTATGTTGGCATAAACCAAGACAACTTTATTAAGAAAAAACTATTTTCCATTTTTATCGAAATCAATTTGATCACCACTAACATTTAAACCAAGGTAATTTTATCGTGAGGGTCTTTCACGCGACTCATACATTTATATCAGCATGTATTGAGTAAATCCAAGCACTTATTTTTATTATTGTATACACTTACCAGTGTCTTAGTAACTTTATGGGATGGTCCATAAAAAACGACCTATTTTGAATTGAGATGGACAGTAAAATAGGTCGTTTTTATAGACTACCCTGTATATAAAGGGTTGCGGAAATAATAAAAGACATAATAAAATTAAAAGACATAATAACAACAATGACAATAATGACAGGAAGCGATCGAGTTGAACTCCTGTGGAGGGTACTTTATACCTGTTATGGGGAACAGATGCTGTGTTGTTGTTTGGTAAGAATACGTGTAGCGAGAGCCCTCCACCGAGTGTGTCGGTACAGGGCAAACGTGCCCGCCAAACCGGAACTGCCACTGCGTACAAGGACCCAATCTCCTAAAAAAAGAGGTGACATTTTTCACTGCAGAGCAGGAACTAAAAGGACCTTTGTTACAAGCTGTGAAATTTCGTTACGTTTATTTGCAGCAAATTAATGCATTAAAGGAAAAATAAAAAAGGAAATAATGTATTAAAGGCACACATACAAGAGTTGAGTGTACCATAAATTATAGTGTTTGCTTAGTGTTCGCTTCTCCAATCAAATAGGAAACCGTGCAAGTTCTATAGAATAAGAAAGATTAAGCCCAATAGGCCACTCAATGATTGTAGTCTACTTGTGTACTTCGGTTTTGTCCCAAACTGAAGAACATAAAATTTGTTTTGTCAAATATGGTAGGTCGGAAACAAATTGCAAATTTCTACATGTAAGTATATACTGTTAGTACACATTAAGTTTTATTTGCCTAGCTAATGCACACTAACTACACAAGGACTCTCGATTAATGTAATTAGAATTACTGAATAACACGCCACTCGACATCATTAAGTTATGAAGGAATTTCAATCAGTGTCACTTGATTTGAAAAGTTTTTCTGAAACTGACAAGTCGCTGGTATTTGAAACATTGACAGCCAATAAACACTACTACACAGAGCTTACATTTAAGAGTAATTTTGATAGTTTAGCTCTTATTTCTTCGCTAGTTTGTACCGTATGGATCGGTCACGTAAGTATCTTCTGGAATCTTAATGATCAAAAACATCTACGGGATTGCTTATTAAATAATATATAATCTCGAAAACAGATGATCTTGCATCAATGCTTGTGCACGCTGATATTCCTTTAATGCGTATCATATTACCCTGAAACTTCTTGTAGGTAACGTAGGTATCGTTGTGTTTTCAGACCTTTACCTTCATGTGGAAACATATTATATTAATTATTCTGAAATATGTGCTTGTCGTCGGACCTCGTGACCTCCATAGATGGCTATACATAAGAGATTATTACCAAAAAACAAACTTTCTAGAAAAAAAAAAAAACAGGGACTAGCTTTGAATGTAGAAATGGATTCATTTACCGTTGGCAAGTGTAGGAAAATCGTCGTTTATCCCAGGAAAATTCATTTTCGGCCAAAATGAAGAGTTGTTATCCTTTTAAGTCTCTGACTGGTGGTAATAACGTATGTATCTTTTTGGGAGATTTAAATGATAATCGCTGCCTTAAGAACTAAACGATGTACATATAACCGTATATGCTGTGTACACGATCATTTTACCTTGATATTAACAATGGTTACAAATTTTGGATATACTGACTTTGGGAGATAACCTTGGTCGATATAATTCATTTTGAACGGTCTCTAATATGTAAGAGTCATACTATACGTACTGACTGGTCATCACTGTGGCTGTCATACTGACCCTCAGGCCACTGGTAGAGGAGATCTTGGGGTAGATCATGCTCTGAAATTGATATAAACACGCTAAAGTTTTATTACACATACTAGTATATTAATAATGATTATAATAGTTTTTTATCCAACACATTGAAGATTAATGTCAAATCACCGTATAGATCTTAAAATAAGTTACAATACTGATGCATCTATGAAGGTCTACTTTAAATATTACATATTACATTTTTGATCCTCATAGATGCATCAGTATTATAACTTTTTTATCCAACACATAAAATGGTATGCCTATGTAAGGATTTGAATGAGCGTATGGGGGATTTCGGATCTTTTTTTTATTTATTTTTTTTTATAATTTTTTTTAATTTTTTATTATTTTTATTATTTTTTATTTATTTTTATTTATTTTTATTTATTTATTTATTATTATTATTTTTATTTATTTTTTTATTTATTTTTTTGTAAATATAAATGGAACATGAAAAAACCAATACCAATTTTCGACAGAATTTATAGCTGTATTAAAAGGAATGAAAGAGAGGGGGATAGAAAGGAAGGCAGAGAGATAGAGAGAGAGAGAGTTAATCATATAATTGATATATTGATATACCTTGATTTCTCCCAGACCTGTGAAGTTTAGGTTGTACCAGTTCCAGTGACGAAGATTAAACACCTGTTGAGCAGCTTTAGGTAGATCTAAAGATAGAATGAAAATGTGTTCTCACTCGTCTTATTAATTGGACTTGCATCCCATATTAAAATGTGTTTGATACATGAACGCTTGTATAGAATTTACATGTATCTTCACAGAATTTATAAATTTATACCCATGCTCTACAGTAAACTTGTCAGCTTCAACTTCGAACAATTGATTAAGGACACACAATTCAAGTAGGGAATGCTTCCTGCATGTGCAGGAAACTCGTTGTTATTACGTTACTGATAGGACTGTAAAAAGAAAATAGTATAAGAACTACGTTGCGCAATTGACTTAAAGATGTACATGTACAATGCCAATGTGCAACTCCTTAATAGCACATCATATAATCTACCAAAATACATTGAGAAAATTACTATCTATATACCCATTTCCGAACTCTTTCAAGAGCTCTTTTAAACTTTCTCAATTTCCCCGGTACGAGTGAAATGCACCAGCCTCAATACTTCCATGTGAGGGCCGGGTGTGACAAAAATATGACAAACTTATACCTACGACGGCTTATACATCGTTATGACACCTTCGGTTCGTAAGATACAGGGAATCCACTGTCAAGTGCCCGCTCTATTTGATCGCCGGACTAGTTAGTCCGCGGATCAACTTGTCGTGAACGCGTCCGGTGTGACAGGAATGGTAGTCCTGGAATGGAAGTCCGGTCTCCCAAATGATAAGTACAGGCTAGGATTAGATGGAGTACTGGGGTTAGTATACTTGTCCAAGAAGTTCTTGACTGGACGCATAGCACCTGTACAAAGTAATGGGGAACGGTCTACGGTTCCTAGCGGACTACCATTCTTGTCTCACCGGGACTGTAAATGCACCGGATGTGCGCAGAGTGGTAATGCGCACTTATTATATGAACAATGCTATGAACGATTGAACGGCACAGGTGGACACACGTTATGAACTACATGTATAAGCAGGGGCGTAAAAAGTAAGCATTAATCCATCACTTATTTGTTACATTCTACTTAATTATATACTATATTCAAAATTCATTTATTTAATTTTGTTTATTTATTTATATTTTTTGTAGTTTTGGACCGTATACGTAAGCTACACCGTTCATGGACAAGTAACCAAAGCGCTCCACATTCACCATAATAAACTTTGATCATCATATCTACAAAACAGCGTTTGTTTTGCAGTGACAGGGACTCGAGACTTATTATTCAAGCCAAACCGATAAGGTCATTCAATTGCCCCAGTATGGTTTAAATATCAAACTGTTGTAGTGCCTTTCCAGATCGAGACATAAAAACACCCGTTAGCACTACACTGTTATTGGCAATTTGGGTATTATATGGAGTATTTACTGGTAGATACTCTGAGGTAGGCCTACCGGTAAGCATTCTGCCGGTGAGATTTCTCTACAAGCGTGACGTTGTCTAGAACCAATCAAATCACTCTGAAATTCACTGTTTAACAGCCACCGTTATCTCAGTATCTGATATGTAATATTCCATTTAGAACGAGATGAACTCGGTATCAACGACCTTTGATGAGGGCGGCTTAACGTTTTTCCATACCTCGATTCGGTGAGTTGCAGTAGGAGCTGCTGACATTGAACACAGCCACGGCATCTATGGCAATATCACCTGTAACGCCTCGACCTCGCACACCTTCAAATGCGATCTGGAATAAGGTGAAATGTGCACTAAGATCATTGGGAATCATCTCCAATACCATGCAGAGGCGGATCCAGGATTATTTGAAGGGGGCCCGGATGCGAAGCCGACCCTGTGTGATTTTTTTTCAGAAACTGAAATCCGCAACGTACGTTTCTGCTGTTTCTGCAGCTAGTGATGCTCGTTAAATCTAGACAATGTGATAATGAATGATAGTCACAGAAAATGTGGATCATGCATGTTTATGTGATAAATAAGTCAGATTTAAATGCATCTATAAAGAACTACTATGTTTGTTACAATGTCTAAACTTTCGGCTTGCTGCCTACGTCAAGTCCTCAAAAAATAAAAAGTCCCTGAGTCCTTACAGAAGGCAGCAAGCCGAAAGCTCGGACATTGTACCAAACACAGTTGATACAAAAACAAAATCTAAATGGCGACTCATGATGCATGTATAAAAGCAAATGGTCCCCAAATGACTGAAAGTTGTTTGGGGCCATGTCGATTTCATGCCTAGATCCACTGTGAGGACAATGCATGGGACGCAAACTAGGTCCGTGTAAGTGAAGGCAGTACAGTACCCCCTCTCCCCAATACACTAATCAAACTCTTCCTTTGACCCTACCCCCAACAACTGCCCATCGACCACCTGTCCATTAGGCCACCCAGAACTAACCTGAAAGTTCCCGCCTTGTTTGAAATACACGTTAGTTTCTTGCCATGTGTTCTTGGAATATCCGCTGTATGCCCAAAGCTGCTGGGTCATGTGCTGACCATTGTATAGCTTGACCCTCAGGTAGCCCAAGCTGGAGCCATACGCATGGTACCGGAAGACCAGCCGGCCACACCCTCCAGCGAGGTTCAAATTGGGGGTGTACAGAACTGCAGTGTCGCCTAGCACCCTCTAATATATATATATATATATTATCTCATTGCAAAAATGAAAACCATGAAACCACACGCATAATATCTATCTATCTATCTATCTATCTATATCTATATCTATATGAAATGGGATGGAATTAAGTTTTTTCTTTTTAAACTTTTACGCAGATACTGTCTAGTGTGGAATCATGCCGTGTAATTCTATAACATTATAGCATATAATTATTTACTTGTGAGCATGTGCTGATATATTTATATAATACGGGATAGCCTTACTAAAACTACCTGTTCCTCTCTGTTTCTCAAAGGGAATGGTAGGATACAGTTATATTCAGTAACCCACTAGATTGCAATAGTGTAGATGATCAATAACAAGACCAGGCAAGCGCTCTAATTTCTTCAATACAATATGTCTATTACAACAGTTCGATCCAAATTTTATTTTATGCTAATGCAATCCATTTTAACACTTTTCTCTTTGGCTCAAACTGATGTTGCCATAGAAAAGTACGATCAATCAATAAAAATTTTATACACTTACCGGGGATGATGTTTCTATGTACATATAATACGACCCGCTGTATGCAGATGAGGGGCCCGTGTAGGAACTGGAGGTGCCCCCGGAGCGTCTTGTCCAATTAAAATCGTCGTTAGTTGATTGCGTGAAACCGCAGATACTACTGGATTCAAAGCTGCACGTGAGCAATACCGCCTGCTCTGAAATCGAAAAAGCAGATAAAATGTGAAATCTGACCTTTTATAAGCAAAACAAATATAAATTTGAAAAAAAAGGATGCATAGCTAGCATAATTTACGATTATACCCTTGTGTAAGTTGCAGTTCGTGGGTTCTTGAAGTAAAATGGTAGTTTACCAAGTCTAAAACTTTTTGTCGATTTCTAAACACAAAAGTCCCCTGTGACAAAAGTTGAAGGCCCTTGTTAACTCACTTGGCTGAGGCTCCCTCTTATTTAACATCCGATATTTGAGCAGGAGTACTTAAAGTCGGCGGAAATTGTTAATTTTCCTTTTAGTTTACGTGCGAGACCTCCCCTTATTTTGAGGAAATATAGATTTTGCGCACCTATATTTTTAACATTTGTTCAAAAGTGAAAAAATAAAAAGAAGAATAACAGAACAAACGACTGACACTGAATTTTAGCTGCTTTATGCTCGTTAAAAATCGTTTAAAAAGCGTAAATAACCAGGGGCGGATCTAGGATTATGTGAAGGGGGGCCTGCTTCTTTTTTTAGGAATGACATACGATACCGACCCTCGGGCCCCCTTGGCGTGGGGTTCGGGGCCTGCATTTTTCATTATTTCAGGACCCCCTGACCCCTCCAAATCCGCCACTGATATACAACTGCATCATGGTGTTAAAGGGCAAAGTGCTGGAATCCCCAAGAACTACCCCAGTACGTGTATATCCAAAATAAAACTAGCCCTACCTGCAAACTGTGACTTCCCAAGTCTAACTTCCTCCACAATAATCCTGGAGACGTCATTGACGTGAGGGTCCGGATCCATTTGGTTGAGGTTGCCAAATAGACACTGTCCAACATTCAAAGCAACTGCATAATCTCCTTGGCCTAGATTTTGGCAAATCCCTTCAACTTAAAAAAAAAACAAATAACAGAGCGATAAACATATTAGTTCTACTACGGTGAAAGGATGTGTACTGATAAAACTTGTTTTTAACTAAAATTATTGACTATTTTTTTCTCTTTTAATCTTTCTAAATGATGCTTTTACGTCCAATTGTCCATATTTTTTCAATCATGCAGAGATGCCGCCATTATGACTACCTGCATCTATGATTATTGAATTACAAACAAGTGAAATGTTTGTTTAACGTCATGGAATATATAGACTGGAAAGAAGTACACATGTTAATTAGAGCATATAAGAAGGACTTTAAGACGTCGCCTACTTGAATGAGTCGTCCGTGTTTGGATGATGGGATCGGTGAGCCATGCAATGGCTCCATCTATCGGAGTGGGAGATTTACACTCTTCTCCATTAAAGGTAAAATAAAATCGCAGACATCCGGGTGCTGGACTTTGGGATTTTGCACCTAAGGCCCCAAACCAACGTACTCGGAGAGATGTATCGGGAGCCAGTTTGGTGTAACGAAATGCCTGGGAGATATAAATATATGTTTGAATGTAAATTGCTATGTATATTAATTATGTGTTGTAAACCATAGTTACGTGCATGATAGGTACTATATCAATTGTTAAACATGAACTATGTACAACCTAAAAGTGCAAAATTTAAATCTGATATTTCCTTAACCCACAAAGTGAAAATTTTGTAAGAAAAGATCCATCTGTTTTAAAACAAAATATTTTCAGAAAACGTTTGATACGCTAATGACAAATCAAGATCTTTTTAACCCTGATCATGAAGGTTCATAGATAGAAGGTATGCGTGGAATGTTAGAACAATTTCAAAATAAATGGGTTACACTGCATAGTTCTATACACGTATACATGTACAAAAGTTTCACATACCGAAGCGCCGTATATCCCACTATCTGTGTCCGCCGTGGCAAGGGTATGTTGTTTTACATTAAAAACAGTGTGATGGGGACACATTCCTAAAAGAAACGATATTTGTGTGAGTATTTGGGCGCACAAACACACACGCATCACACACACAGACTGATGCACGCATGCAGTATCGAGTACCTGCAGGTACCAGTAAACAACCCTCGCTATTCTGGATTCCTGTAATGCAGGTTATTACGAATGAAGGTTCCTTGTCGCAAAAGAAACATAGACCAAAATTTGTCAATTTTAAGAGTATTTTTGCTTGAGGTACATTTTATAATATGATGACAATGGTTAGCGTTGTGGATCATTAGTTACTGAAGTTTATTTTAAACTGAAGCACATTACCAACTTTCGAACAAACTTCCTTTGTGATTATGCCATGCCATGCAGTGCCATATTATGCCATATTTTGCTATACTATATGCCTGTCATGCCATGCCATGCCATGCCATGCCGTGCTATGATTTTGAATTTCATGCCATGCCATTCAGTATCATGCTTTGTCATGCCAGGCCAATCCATGCTACGTCAAACCATGTTATACTACCTTTGTTCTCCCCCAGATCGACTTCCTCGGCTGTTATTTTGGGTTTTCCAGAAGTTGTCCACCCCAGGTACGGCTGCCATGATATACCCGGCAGTGTTCCCACGTTGAAACCAATCTGCATATGTCCTGCAGGAATATTGTTACAAAGCCCTTCGACTGCAAAAAATATGGGATACAGGATACACATACTACAATGTATAGCTTTTAATCTGCTAGTAAATCATGAAATCATAAAGTATACAGGGGAAAAGTCTAAGTCCTCTTAAAAACTGCATCTTTGTTTGGTCTATAAACTTGAGTCTGAAAATTATGAAAAAAAAACCTGCAAAGGAAAGGGAAATAACTGAGATTATATCGCTTGAAAAAAATGTAAAAGAAAAGGTGAACAGTGCGTCATTGCAATATGCATCTAATTTTAAAAGTTCATTCAATAAATATAACATATCATACCATATCATATCATATCATATCATATCATATCCAAGAAAACTTCATATTTGTGTCTTAACATCCTTTCCCTAGAGTCTTAAAAAAGTGTTTGACGTCAGCCATGCTACTCACATTCAATATGCTGATGATAATTTCTACTAGCCCCAGTCCAATCTACGGCCTCGATACCAGCAGGCCCAGTGCAAGGTGCCCGATCGAACGTGAAGTAAAAGCGAGACCCGTGGTTGGAACTGTAACCACCCCTTATGCTTCCAGACCAGCGGACTCGCAGCGCGGTGGATGCGTTCTTCTTCATGTAGTTGACACTCTGTAATGCATGGATAGTATTTATAAGTTAAAGGTACACTGTGGTATAAACAGAGGAGTGCCCTGGGTTTCAGGGGACACTGAAAACAATATCCTGGAAAAGGCGGATACTTGCCGCTAATATATCGAGTTTCTACTGACCTCTAAAACTCGGAGTTTTGTATGGTTTTTAGTTATGTAATAAATAAACCAGTTTATTTGGTTTGTTTTCCACATAACTTACTTTCAATGTGTAATTTCATGAAACCGCTATACCAATAGATATTGTGTTTCATGATATATGTAAAAGTCATATGAACCGATTCCAAAAGTGCTGTCTGACTGTATATTTAAAAAAAACTTCTAGAACATTTCCTTGCCCTTTTATCTAGTAAAATATATTGCCACCGAAATTATTGTATTTTCCTAATTAATTAATTGGACTCTGTTCCATTTCAATTACCATTAATAATTTTTTTGTATCTCAAGAACACAAAATATTTGCTAGGCTACTAGTAGACTGTGAGGGACCATTTAGATTGAGAAGAGGTGAGTGCTAGTAAGGCCGCCACCTGAAAATGGCGGACCTACATGAAAGGAAGACCGCTTTATCCTGTAATGGTCTCTCCGCCTCTCACACGCCTCCCTCGACAGGTTGTATTAATAACTGTGCCCCTGCAGTGAAGACACGTGGGGAGGCGTGTGAGAAGTGGAGAGACCATTACAGGACAAAGCGGTCTTCCTTTAATGTAGGTCCGCCATATTTAGGTCGCGGCCTTACTACCACTCGGCTCTTCTCAATCTGAATGGTCCCTTAAACTGACCAGCACTAGTCCGCTACCGGCCGAACGCAACCCGTGCCACGTCCACTGCTGGATGTTGTCCTCTACTCTGTCACATGTAACTTGAAATTAAAGACACACTGTGAGCGTTGCACTTTCATATTATAGTAAGTAATAGTAGCTCAGACACGACATGAAATAATGGTTACTAGATATAGGTCCCATTCAGAATAGGGGACTAACTAGTCCGAGGGCCAAATATGGTCAATCCACATAAATACTTCCCCACGGGATATCTATCCAGTGTCTATTAGCGATTAGACGGCAAGCTTTGTAGTGGGTCGTCATACATGACCCTCGGACTAGTTAGTCCTCCCCTATTATGAATGGGGCCGTACAGTGTATATTGTGTGATAACACTAAACGTTTTAAGTTTACTGCAAGACACATTTACTTCTGGGACATTTCAGCAGTGGTTCAGGTTTGCAAATTATTCATTTAGTCAATCAATCAACAAACTAATAGATTAAAAACTTAATAAAACGTTCTTTAATTTTATCACACAGTTAATAGTGTCAGCGCGTTCATACTTACTGGGAACGGTTTTCAGTTGAATCCTGCACTGTCTGTCGTTACCGTACACACGGGCCGATTGACAATTCTCTTTGTGTCCGAAACACTCTCTGATACACGGGAGCCGGATAGAGGTAGTGGTGCTCTATTAAAGGGTTTAAGTGAAATATCGTGAAATAGAATAACGTACAACAGCGGCGTTATGAGGAGACGAAAAAAGAGAGTAGAGTTATATATTGTCATCTGGGTGATATTATATTTTACTGGATTTTACTCTTCGTGAAACGGCCAAAGTTTATCTTTAGATGGGATATGCGTTATCAACATGGTAATATAACTGACATTATCAGGTATGCGTGTATTTTGCTGCATCTCAAAAAGTGCTAATGGTCCTGTTTTCAGTTTTTACTGCTCTTAATTTGCCTACAAGAAATAGCACTGAAAATGGCTTACCTCACAGTAAAAAATAATTTTTATCGTTCCAACCTCCTTTGAATAGAGTGTACACTGAGTGTACACTGAATCATTAATCCCTATTTTAACCTAATTCTTAATTCTGTATATTTGTGGCAGTGGTCCTGTACACAATACAATACTCTAACCAGATAATCACTGAGAATAAAATTGGAGTCATTTGACTCTCTAGTCAGAGTTCAGCACCCCTTGACCCTCATGGAGTTAATTTAACTCCTATTTAAGGGTCAAATTACCCCACTTCCAGAGTCTTTAGACTCTCTTATCAGAATCAATCACCCCCTGGCTCTCATGGAGATAAACTGACTCTAAAATCAGAGGCAAATTACCGGGGGCCAGTGTCTGGCTGACCCCTTTCACCGACTATTTTCGCTCGCTGGACAGTAAGCCTCGTTTCAGTACTTGTAATGGCAGTGAGCAGACGGCATGGAGAGAACATTTTTCTTCATCCTTCGTCAGTATAAACATTACTTTATTGGCCATAGTTGGTTTTATGCATGAACAAGTGGTTTTCTGTGTGTTTCTGCATGCAGAACTCGTGCACTTATTACTGGCCCGGGCATTCAGTTGCCCACACCCTTTATGCAATATGTTGGTTTACAGGTCAGCAGGTTTTGTTTCCATGATATATATATATATATATATATATATATATATATATATATATATATATATATATATCATACTGTTTATTACCAGATTTACAAACTGTTTGTTATTGATCTTTCGACATCATATGCGACTGGACGGCCTTGGGGTTAGAATGTCCGACTCTGGAGCGGGAGGACGTGGGTTCAAGCCCGTCAGGGGACATTCCACTCATAAATAAACGGCACCCGTGTCTCCCCGCTTGGCACTGATGTTATTCTTGGGTCTGATGTTATTCCGCCAAGGAGGTTATGTTTTCTCCCCTGTTTGTCTGTCTGTCTATGTGTGTGTTTGTTTGTCATCAACGTAACTCAGGGTAGGCCAGAAATGGGTTAACTTAGAAGTGATTAGTATTTGGTGGTGATCCGGTTCAATAATCAATCAATAATCAAAAATCAAAAATCAATAATCAACATAACTCAAAAAGTTATGGACCGATATTGATGAAATTTTCAGGAACTGTCAGAATTGGGCCAAGGAACAGATGATTTGTTTTGGTGGTGATCCGGATCAATAATCAATCAATAATCAATAATAATAAGAAAAATTGCTGCCTTGGCGGAGGTCTGCGCTCTTGGAGTGCTTTTCTAGTTTTCATAATGTGCCAAGGAGTCAAAAATTCCTTAATATGGGGTCATGGTGACTCTTTTGTAGAGATAAATCAAGGGATGAAGGGATGTGTGAATGGAGTCAATTGTGACCTTCCTTCGTCGGATAAAATTGGCAGGAAACATCATTCGACTACCAGCTGAGAGACATGGGAGTTACTTGGGAGACCACTTGGGAGTTATTTCAGGCACCACTGCTGGACTCCAACTTTGGAGTCACTTGGACTCGGATTTTATTCTCAGTGATTTTTGTATCCGAGGAACATTGGCAGACAGATATTTTTACATTTTCTTTCCCTTAAATATTCTGCTAGGCTCATCATTCTACTCCAACTGTGTTTGCCTTTCATATTTGAAACCATTGCATCAAGTATTGACTTTGAACACTTTCAGTCTGCATGTATACATAAGTTTGAATAAATTGTGATGTAGTTCATAGGGTATCTCGATCTAATTGTTCACTATTTGTAGGTATTCACGTGTAACCCCATTTTGATATTCAGATATACGGCAAAAAGCCAGTTAAAATTTATAGTGTACAAAGTGTATGGAAAGTATAGAATTTTCGCACAAATCCCATCTAAATGACTGTCATCAATTAAATGATACCTGTGATAAAATTCTTTAGGTTTTGTCGAAAAAAGGACACCCACAAGCAGAGGCAGCCTAGTGTGATCCTTCTGTGCTAAGTTCTTAATCTCATTCTGTTGTTTTAAAGTGATCAATCCATATTTTAGCCGTTCAAATTCTAAACTTCTCTCAGAAAAGGGCGCTGCTTTCGGCATGAATGCAATTATATTGAAGCACAGTCTCACTGAATCAAAATAATAAAAACTTCACTGAATTGAGGGGATCTTTGTTGAATTTTTGTCAAAATCATGATAATCATAAGATTCAAGGGGTCAGTGGGAGGCATATTTCTACCAGCCCTTTATCAGCAGGACCTTTTTAAGTAATCGATTGCTTGCCGCTAACACATTTTCCTTCAGAAATTTCTAAAATATTCGACATAATTATCATATTGGACTTAATTTATCTTTTTTTATTTTTTTAAGTCGACTACCGTCCTACCTGACACTGGACTTCGTTTCCAAACACCTGGCACACGTGATCATCTTCAATTTGCAAAGATTTCACAACCGGAGTACATACAAAATTTCCCAAAACCAGGCAAATCGTGAAACTTCTCCGTGACATTTTAATTAGAACGTGCGTCAACCGCACCTCTATACATTGGTCTTTAAACTAAATATCGACGGACAAGAATTCCACAATTATTCTATGACACAAACATACGTTGGCAACGCGTTGCCTAGGAGACAAAGTCAATCTTGACTGTGATTGGCCAAGGGAGGGTCAATTTCCTAGAAATGTGTCTGTTGGTTGGTTTTCACATATTTCCCCTGTGTCTTCCTCTTGCAATTTTCAGTAGCATTAATCAATAGGTGGCAACATCACAAGAAAGCGACCATGCGTTAGTGTACAAGTTTGCACTCGATAATGATTCGACTTAAAATATTTATTTTAATTTAGATCCTACAGACAGAAATTGGCATGTATAGTTGAATAAAGTTGAACGATTTGTTTCCTTTAGGCTACATTTAATGCTCTCAGTTTAATTTTGATGCTTTAGATTGTTTCCACGTGCACATCCTAACACTTTACATGCTAAAATACAGTGTATTTTTATGGAATACAAACAGCGAGTTGAAACTTTCAATCATAAATGGGTTGGGAATCAGGTAATGTTAAATTACACACAAAGTTTCTCAAAAATTATTCAAAAAAAATGACAAATGGTATTACATCAGCTTGAGAGATTGACTACTTATTGGCTTGGCTTTTGCTACTACTACTACTAACAAATATATGCATAAACTTTATAATAGCAAATTATTTTAAAAATATGACGATGGGCACTTTGCCAATGGTTACCTGCGCTTGTCCTTTGTCACATAAATAAGGTACTTTCTTTAAGGATATTGTGATCCTTCGCCCAAAACCCCTTATGTACTGTCTAACATATATTCTTTTGGGTTATAAATAATTCTTCAGTGTTCAGTGACTAAATTTATTAACATTTACACATATGTCATCGTAAGGGTGACGCCATAATTGCGATTTTGGGGTAAAAACTGAAAAATCGGTTTCTCAAATTTCTCTTTTACCTTAGCACCCACGATCAGCGTTTTAGCTCCAACTAATGGCAATATTAAGTACTCCAAAACCCTGCAAGCCATTTTTCTAAAAAGGCTTAGTTCAGATTTTATCGTTAATAAAGCAAAATGATGTCTTTGTTTAATGAAAATCTGTAATTAAGGGCTCATAACTCTATAACAAAAACATTTAAATCAAAATTACGGGATTGTAGATATACACTTCTGGTCAACTCTGCCAATTTTCATGATAAAATCTTGTTCAGATATGAAGTTACGCCCCATACCGATTGTAATCTCACCTCAAAATAGAAATATGTTATATTGACGATTAAAGCTTTGAGTTGCCTATGCTTATACATTGCAACATTTTTCTATATTTTAAAAAATATAGACGCTGATATCTTATATTTTCAAGTGTTTTTTATTGTTAAAAATCAGCAAAAAGATACCCTGTAGATGAAATAATGAATAATTTTATGCAGGAAAAAAATCATTTTCGGTATCTGGATGATAACAGAGGGTTATAATATCCTTAAGGAATGGCAAAGAAAATGGCTTACTCCACAATCAATGTTTTAAAGTTCCTACCTCCCTTTTTCAAAGTGTACATAATGAATCATTTATCATTATTCATAATTCTGTGTGTGTTTCAGTGATCCTGTAAACAATACAATACTGAAAGCAGCTTATTCTTGTATCAATGTTTATTTGAAGACAGTTGTCTATAGTTTTCCTTAAGTTTTCTTTAAGGTTCAGCATTATTTGCCAGTGCAATTCCAAACGAGGTTTGCTTTTCATAATTAAAACAATTGTATCATATATTAATTTTGAAAACTTTTTGATCTATTTTTTGATATGAATGAATTGTGATACGTCAAAATGCATCATGAACGTATAAGTGGCTCATCTTTTCATATGGCATTACCGCGCGGATTAAGATAATTAAGTTGGCGGTTTTGTAAATCTTCAAGAAATTCTGTCCATTCTTTTTCATTTTACAGCGGTATTCTGCAAGTTATGTTATGGATACGTTTGAGTTGCTCGTTTTTTTCCCCTGCTTAGGCAGATTAAAAAAAAAAGTCATTACTATATTTATCTGACCGCTTCACATCAATCTGTAGAGCAAATGTTCCAATTTCCAATGCTATGTTCAAGTTTAGGGAAAGGCATGAATTCATGAGTACAATTTGGTCAAAGCAACGATTTTTAAACTACTGTTATTTTACACAGACTAGTCACTGTCTCCATTTTTCCATTGTTTAATCTCCTTTTTCACTGCAGCTGTTTTATTCTTATTATTAATTTCCTCCACATTCTCAATTTTGAGCTAAACGTGACGCCCTGCAAGGTGAAAGTTCCCTTTGTCCACACTAGATTATGGCATACTACATTAATTCCGTCATCATTGCGTTTCAATCTCAACGAAATAACTAAGGTTAGGGTTTAGTCGGGAAATATGAGAAACTGGGTTAGTAAGTTAAAATGAGATTTTGATATTTATTTGAAATAATACCCTCCATAGCACATTATATTGGGTTTGAATAATTATTAGACAACAGGACTTTAAAACACCTAATAGTGTGCCAATAACGTTTACAGTGTCCTTGGATGTGTAATTTAAGAGTCAGCATGCTTTATTTATTAAAATAACTCTTTTCAAAATTTCAAGTAAAACAAAAATACGATGAAAAGTAGTATGGAATTATCTGCTGGGTTATCTATTTCTGTGATATTAATTCGAAGATTAGTCAAGAAAATGTCAAAGGGATAACAACCGCGTTCATAAAATATCCATATTTCACAATAAATACATTGTAAATAACTCATAGAAATACAATAAATTCTATTTTGCCCCCAAAACGGCAATTATTTTGGCATTTGTGCTTGCCATCATATCACATGATCTCCATAGCTTACTACACTCTGTAATAATCTCTTCAGAGATTATTACAAAAAAGGACTAATTTTGAATGTGGGAATGGATTCACAATTACAATTTACAATTGGTAAGTATTGGAAAATTGCTCTTTACCCCAGGAAAATTCATTGTTTGGCCAAAATGAACAGTTGCTATCCCTTTAATCAAACCAAACGCAACGGTCAATGGTCCCTGGTTACGTCAGAAGTAAAGATTCAGATATTGAATCAAAATATTAGAATATATTTTGTATTTTGATTATATAATTGGTGACACTATTATAAACACGTCAATGATACATGAATGATACGTATTCACTATATATGTCTGTATATAAGCAATATAAAAAACGCCACCGCTTACGTAAAATATCATAAAAAATTAATAGAAAAAATGACAATGAAAAGAGCTATTCTTATAAAAACTTAAGTCTCAACTCTTCACGTACTTAGCATTTGATAAATTTAATAACTAAAAGGTAATCCGATTACTTTGATTTCCAATTTCAATCTTCCCTTTGTCTAACAAAAGTAATAAACTTAACATTGGCAGTTAAGCTTTAACCGTAGCAAAAACGTACAAAAAAATAAAAATCTCCTATGAATAATCTGATCATGGCACTTTTTGTCCTTTTGCTAACCAACACTTACTAGTAAATCTGCAGAAATGTAGTACGTGCTTGAAATAACATTTTCTGTATTATAGCTTATATATACAGACTTGACATTTAATATGGAATATTTTTTTCCAAATCATTTTTCATCAGTTTTTTCCTATTTTGCAGACTGATAAATGAAAATAAGGATTAAAATCGTGTTTTAATAACTTTTAATTATCTCTTTGATGATATTGTGATAAAAGTTCATTAATGGAATTCGCCAGAGAAGCAAACAAAAACACATTGCCTATTGTATGTCATTCGACAACCATTAAAAGGGATATTTTGGACCTCCATATCTTCCAAATTATTGTCTGTAAAAGAGTTAAACGCTCCACAAAGGACCCTCATGTCAGTGTCTAGTCACAGTAACGGGCGCTGTTACGCCTGACTTCTTCTGGCTGCTACCAGCGCTCTCAAGTGGCAAGGCATTCCTTGGGATAGGTTTTTAAAGTTCAATCGGAAATAACATTCCAGGCATTGGCCAAAATCTGCCCAATTTGGTCCAGTTTTGTTGTAGGACATGTAGGCCATTGATTCGGAGAGTAATGGCCTACCCACATATTGTCTATGTGGTTCAAATATGGCGATTTTTATGGCCAAGGTGGCTGCTCATTCCCTTGGTTCTGTATGTAAACTGCTTTTTAAAGTGCTCTGTGTGAACCGGCAATCTCACCGTACAACCTAAAATTGTTCCTAATTTGTCCCCTATCAAACGATAGCCAAGTGGTTCCCAGATTATTTCTTTATTTGATCTGGTTCAGGTTTTCGTCGATGACTACCATTGATGTTTTGGCACCAATGTGGAATCCACTCCAAATACTGACGCTGTTAATGACCTTAGTCACTTTAGACGCAGCACACGCTTCGTCTTTGGCCTCTTCTGGATGTCTGTAAACTCTGTTTTGACTGTTGAGCGGTACAGGTGAAATCTGACCTCAATAAAGAAAGCCACGAGATTTCAGTGTTCAACCCAGAAACAGTCAAGGTCCCCAATTCGATTGAGAAACATACAACGGTATTTTGCTGTTTACAGTGGGTTCCTCGGAGGTCGTCTGGTATTCTAACCTGCTAAAACCAGTTTGGTGTTCGCTAAGGGCCTTGAAAAATGCGTTTTGGTGGTAATTTAACCCTCATTCTTAACGAACTTGGTGGTTTCTGTTTAGTTGCAACAGTATATCCCGAAAGACAGTGGGTCCAGTACCCTAGTGGTAAGATTTCAATACATTGGGAGTGACCATTGTGTAGGTACATCACTCTGGGCATTACTCTGTAAAACTGTGCGGACCGTTTCGTTTGGCGCAATTACCTGTCTGGCAATGCCTGTCTTTTTCGCGCCATTCTGCCACAGATTAACACATTTGTAAAGCACTGCATAGCTCATTTTACACACTGCAAACCCGACCACTTGCATGCAAAATTTCAAATTCTTCTATGCAGTAGTTGCCGACACATGGATACTTTTTTGACAGAACCATGCTTTGCCAAAGCCAAGCTTTGACCGGCCCAAAGGAGCACTACCCAATTAAATCACTGCATATGACATAATGCAGCAGCGCAACAAACCTGGTAATCAGTTAATTGGTAGCGACACACCTGACTACACACTTCTCCATTCACATATCTTATATGAGATCGGAGTTTGTGAAAAAAAAACGCATTTTCACCTAGGCATACATTCGAAACTGAAATATTCCATATTAAATGTCAAGTCTGTATAT